GAAGTAACTAGGAGTTCACAGCCCTCTAAGGTAACCTTTGGCCAACCACTAACTGGCAGTGAAATATAAATGTACAGCTCTGTACCCACACAAGAAGGTACAAATTTAGAGGTTAAATGAGACTCTAGAGCATCCCTTGGGATTAAGCAGAGGCTGGGGTTCTCCCTGAAATTATTCCTTACTTGTCTTTTTCCTGTTCCCTGTAACATTTCCCCTATTTATTCATGTGTTTCTCCCAAAAGTTCTTTCTTACCAAATTCTTACCTCAGGACCTGGTTCTGAAGAGACTTACATGAGACCCAGATGAAGTTCATCTGCTCTAATCCATTCTTTCCACAGGTATTTAACCTAATCTATAAATCAAGAAATATTTGTGAAGGCCTAGTGTGTACTGGACTTAGTTTAGTTTAGACTTGGAGAAATGTGAATTTCTGGTAATGTGAAAATGACAGTCCTAGACACAGGACCCATATTATCTTCCATCAGGGACAATTTGAGAATCCAGGGTAAGGTGTTACCAATGACAAGTGTGTGAATTCCTTTATATGCTGCAGCATCCATGCAGATATTATTAACCAACCCTCATGGAAGCTAAGAGAGAACCTTAGTAACTTTCAATTGGAAAGTTATATAAATCATCCAAACAAACTAAAGTAGGCCAATAGAAAAATATTCATAAGCTTTTTGAGTCCAACAGCATTCATGGAGGACAACTTAACTATTAGTACTATTTGATTAGTAACATTACTTTTGCTTCTATCATTTATCTCTAAGATTTGTTAATATAAAACATAAGGCGGGATAGAAAATTGTTTGTAGGAAGTGTTTTTATTTGCCCCAAGACATCATAAATATTCATGCAGACAATTGCCAGTAAAATCACTTCTATTCCCATTCTGCTTTTGAATCATTGATGGATGATGGACACTGCCTCACTTCTACTCAAGGTATATTTTGCATTTAAGTATATCAAATGGTATACTTTTTTCAAAGCCCGTGGGCACTCAGTCTGGATGAAGGAGATCCTCTTTATTCCTAGAATCTACTTCTTAAAAAAACAAACAAAAGACTATTGTGATTTATTTGGATACTTACTGTCTATGGTAGGCAGAATTACAGTTCTGCAAGTTTCATTCCATGCTTGCCTAGGCTGTTGCTTTTGGGTCCATGGTGGGACAGCACATCACAAAGGAGCAGGAGGTTAAACAGAACCACTCACTTTATTGCCAGGGGCAAACAACAGCCGAGATGGAGCTGGAGTTCCATGTTTGAGAGCGTGTCCCCCCCCCCCCCCCAGCCCAGTGACCCAAACAACACTATCCCCAAAAGGTTCTACCAGCTTGCAATACAACTGTTCTGGGAAGCAGGGCTTTATGGATCTTTGGTGAGTGAGCACTTAAGATTCAGACTATAGCAATGGCCAAAGGGGTAGAGTTGCAAATAGAATTAAGATTGTCATTCAGATGATCATTTTGTTTTATTTTGAGACAGCATCTCATCTCACTGCATTGTTCATGATGGCCTTATAGTCACAATCTTTCAGTACCTCAGCCTCCCAAATATGTAAGATGCAGATTTGCTCCACTGCAACTGGCTTCAAGTGATTTAAAATGCAGCAGAGAGATTAGAATATTTTAGATTACCCATGTGGATACAATGTAAATAAAAGCACTCTTAATACAAAAGAGAATCAGAAGTATTAGTTTCAGAGTAATGGACTGTAAGAAAGTCTTGGATGGCCATTGCTGGCTTTGAAGATGGAAGCAGCCATGAGCCAAGGAATGAGAGCAGCATGTAGCAGCTGGAAAAGAAGCAAGAAAACGGATTCTCCCTAGGGCCATGGAAAGAGCCTCTGGAAAGAATCACAGTCCTGCCAACACCTTGATTAGAGTTCAGTAAGACCCATCTCATACAGAATTGTAAATAGCCACTAAGTTTGTGGTAATTTGTTACAGTAACAATAGGAAACTGATATTTCATCTGCTTTCATCTGAAGAAACCACAGAATCTTCTCATGTGTTGCAAGAGTAATCCATTTGCTATTCACTCAGTTTTGATTTCCTTACCTGTGTTTGAAATGTCTTGCCATTCTTCTTGGCTATCACCACCGTTTTCTGTATTTCAACCCCACTGCAATCATGTTTCAAGTGCATTGCTTTCTTCTGGCCACAATACAAAACTAACACCAACAATAGTGAACATTTTCAAGCTTAGAAATACTAACCCCCCTCGAAAGTTACACTGTGAGAAATCCAGCTTCCTTTTCTGCTTCCATTTCCATTTTCATATTCTATTTAACTTGAGACTTTGAAGATATGATGTTTCATGGTGATAGAAGTAAAAAAAAATGAAATCCAGACAAGCTTATGACAACTAAAGGAAATTTACCAACACTTCTGGACAAGATACATTAGGATCAAAGACAGAGTGATGACATCAGTATCACCAAGGCCCTAAAGAACTCCATATGTATTTATTCATGTACTAACTTATTCATTTATTCTTTTGTTTGAACATTAACAAATCTTTGTTGAGTGCTGACCATGTGGCAGGCACTGCACAAGTTGTTAGGGATTCATCCATGACAAAGACATCTGTGCTTATACATACTGGGCAGACGAGGCTGGCAATATGGTGGATAAGTTATATGAATGGCCCTCCAAAGTTGATATATTAGAATTTAAACCCCAGAGTGGTGGTCTTAAGAGGTAGGGCCTTTTCAGAAGTGATTAAGTTATGAGGATTAAAAGGAATTAATGTCATTATGAAAGAAGCTTCATGGAGATGCCTGGCCTATTTGCCTTTTACTTTCTGGCTTCCACTATATAAGTTGCTGCAACAAAGCATCACCTTGGAAGGAAAAAAATCAAAGACTATGGATTAAAAAAAACCTTTGTGTCATGAGGAAAAGTCAGCGGAGGTCAGGTGGAGTTGTGTGAACCTTGACAGGGGGAATAGATACCCTGGCAGTGATACAAGCAGGTAGTGGGATATGCTATATGAGTCTGGAGTTCAGATGACACTTCTTATTGGATTATTCTAAATTCTTGGGAGTCATAAGCATAAAGTTCACATTTAAAGTCATGAGAATAAATATGACATCACTTAAGGGTGTGGGTACAGATAAAGAAGTGTTCAAAAATTCATCTCTGGAGCACTTGGCAAATAGGCCAGGAAAAAGTCAGGGGTAGGAGGAAACCCCTAGGGCATGAAATCCTGAAACTTCTATGAGGAAGTGTCCCCAGAAAAACACAGCAATGGAATATGACACGGACTGAGAATTGTACAACAGATTTAGCAGCATAAAGATCATTGGTTAACCTTGATTGGAGCCATTTCTTAGAGTTCAGGGGACAAATCCTGAGTAAATGTAAAGGATATTGGGAGGAAAACATGGACAATTTTTTGAAGAGTATTGTTCATATAAACTAAAGTAAAGCAAAGAATAAATCTATAGTGAGAGAAATAAAATCAAGACACTATTTTGTTATAGGAAAACAATCCAGGTGTGGTGCCACATAACTGTTATCCCAGCACTCAGAAAGCATAATGAGTTCAAGACCAGCCTGAACTACATAGCAAGATGCTGCCTCAGAAAAGGAAAAGTAATAACATGAATTAATATGCTATGGGATGGTCAAATGGGGAGAGAGAAACTAAGGAGATAAGAGCAGAGAGAATTCCTGGAGTTATGTTTTTGAATAGGCAAAAGAGATGATACAGGACAGTGGTAACCAAGTTTGAATGAAATTCAGAATCCCCTAGATGACCTCTGTAAAAACAAATTATTGGGCTCTCTTTTCCAATGTTCTGATTCATTTGGTCTGGGATAGAGCCTGAGAATTTGCATTTCTAATAAATTTACAGGTATTGTCTAGGCTGCTTATTAAGGGACAATCAGGGACCTGGCCAAGATCCCCAACTGCCTTTTTGAGGGGTGCAGTGAAAGGATGAAATAAGAAAGAGGCAAATTTAGTAATTCATGGAAGGTTAGGGCAGAGACAAAGACACTGTAAACCAGCCACTATGTACTGAGGATATATGAGCCTGGAGGGTTTATCAAATGACTCAGAGGGTAGTGGTGACCTTATGCTAATCAAGATGTCTATGTTAATGACAATAGTGAAGAGAGATGACAGGTTAATGAGTTTGTCCTTTCTCCACAGTGAAACTCTTATGTTTATTACTGCTGGGTTCTCAAGGAATCAGGTCTTTAGCTGATGTGATCTTGCCTTGGGAATCAGAACCATTAAGGCCTCAATTGTGACCAGAGGCACATGGAATTGTGTTCCCGCATACCATTGCCAGCCTGCACGATAAGTCACTAGGCCTCAATAATTCCTAATTGCAATTTAGTGATATACTTGTTTTTCTCAACAATTACATAGAAAGGTCTTTGGCATTGAATCACACTTTCAGCCCTACTGATAAACAAGGAAGGGGTGGTGTTGAAAGAGTTTGGACACTGTAGCTGGTAAAGCCTCAGGTGGAACCAAGGAGCTCCATCTTCCCCACCCCTAGGAATTTACCTGTGACTATCTTCCCCACCCCTAGGAATTTACCTCTGGCACCAAACAAGTGCCAATGGGCTACCTGTACTTCACTAATGCCCCTTAGGTTCCACCCCAAACCTAGGATACTTATATGCCTCCACTCCACGTGTTCCATGGAGAGATCATTGACCCTGGGGTAGGGGGGAGATGCCGCACCCCAGGGAGTCAGGGGGGGTCTCTCCCCACATTCTCAAAATAAAGGTCATTTATATTTCATACTTCTTATCTTTTCAGCTGCCACCGGTCCCCCACAGTTCTATCATATGGTTCCCTGACTGGGAACGGCAGATGAGAGATTCATGGGGCCCTCCAAGTTTGAGTCCCCTGCCATGCAGGACCAGGCCCAGACTACATCCTGCATTAATTCCTCACTTCTACACTTGGGAGCTGTAAACTTGTCGCTGCTGGCTCGCAAACAACACCAACCCAATTTACCACAGGTGAGCAACCCCCGGAGATTGCCACTGGGCCAGGCCCCAGGCGGATTTTCTCCCCCTTTCCCTGGGTTCCCGTGACGCTCTGACGTCCTTAGATAGCCCAAGGCAGAGTTTTTCTGGACCAGCTTCTGTCCACACTGAAAGACTCTCACATCCTTCAGAGCTTTTTAGGTTCTCATGGGCAGAGCTGTTACTAAAACCCACGAGAAATCCACTCGTATATACTGGTGATGGCCAATTATTACGAGCTTTGGATCCATATGATACCAATTGGTCTAAAACAAGTAAAAAGTGACGACTTACATTTAGTAGACCACGGTCCGTTGCCTCATCTGGCTATAACTCCATGGGCCAGACCCCACATCAGATTTTATATTGGGGACCACTTCCTGCCCCCCCAAAAAAACCATACCTATCTATGGCTTATACACTGACGACAAGTTTACAAAACTATCTTTAAGCCTTTGTTTTGAGAATGTGTGTCCTTTCCTGCTCTACCAGGATCCCTCCCCCTCTCCACACTTAAATAGATAATAGTGTCTTTCTTTGCAGCCTTTCAGAGCTTTCTCACCATCTCCTTTCCTCTCTACTCCCCCCCACCCCCGCTGCGCACCAACCCATTCCCCGCTGAGATGAGGAAGGTGCGCCCAAACAGTGTTGAGAGATACTGCTGCTTTAAGCTTTCACGCCACGCCCCAACTCCACATGGTATCTTGGCTCTCATGCCGTGCTCCAGGTCTGCGCGGGTTTGGCTCTAACACCGCGCCCTAATCCACGTGCCCCGTGAGCAGTTCTGGCTTCATGTTTCCCAGCCCGCCCCCCACACTACGTCTGGGCGCTCACCCCGCCTTCACTCTGTGTGCGCTGCGCCCCCCCCCATGCACGCCCCGCCCAGCCTCAGAGTTCTGTCCTGCCTTAGGTGCTGCGCGTCTCCCGAACAAGCATCTCCCAAACACAAGCGCTGTTTTAAACACAAACACAGATAAACAACAGCTTGGCAGCTCGGCTCAGAGATGCTATTTTTTTATATTCTCAAACTATTTAATCAAGGTTAAATAAGCGGGCAATAGACAAGACTTTGGCTGATAAATGGGAAAGTGGCCACCTGGTAATTTTACTAGCCTTGTTTATCAATTAAAGCCTTCATTAATCTCCATAGCGTTATATGAGATACCTCAACTAAAGTTCATATGACTAAAACAATTCATAGTTGCTGATCTGATGCTGTATTCGTGTTTTCAGATATAAAGTTCAGATTGTTTCTGCTGTCTTTTTTTGTGTTCCAGCCATGACAAATGTTCTCTTTCAGATCCAGATATACACTTAGAGATGTTTAACAACTAAAATTAAAAAATAATTATAAATTCCTTTTGCTGGGAACTACTAGTTATTTTCCAAAACAAGAGTTACATGATATATGCAAAACAACAAGACCAACACTGGGGCAGAAGCCAACTTAAACCTTTCCCAGCCTATCTGCCTGCCCTGGCTCAGCCCTCCACCAAGCCATAATTAACTATATTCAACTGATATTAAATAACACTGTAGCTGATTTCTCTCCTAAATAAAAAGGTAAAAATTAATTAAATAGGCCATCCTCCAAAAATCAGATGGCATTAGACATTTTAATAACATAAAGAGATATATATATATTACATAAATAACATGTCAGTTCCTAAAATTCTCTGGATCTGTCCTCCTTATGAGAAGCCATTACTCAAATTATAAATACCCTGTTGATTATATTTGACTCCGCATACTACTTAATTCTACAGATACCTTCTACTGTAGTCCAAATCTCAAACAAAAAGGCAAAACTTGACCTTCAAACCTCATAGAGACCTTAATATGGCTTTTCATGTTTTCAACAACAGAGATAACAATAACACTTGTGACACTCGGAGTTCTGAGACAGGTAAACCGACACAAGGTAGAGCTGCCTGCCCCCCCACCATGGACCATGCCTCAAATGCAGCAGAAGACATTGGGCAAGAGAGTGCCCCATCCTGGCATTCTTTGGGATCTTACCCCAGGGCTACTGGACTGTCCTAGCCACCAGAGAGTGCATAAGCCATCCTAACTTCTAGCCCTCACTGGAAATGCCAACACTGCCAGATTCATCGCTGACAGATCTGCTTAAACTTGCTGCTGAAGATTGACGGGGCTCAGGGCCAACAGCAGCCTGCTTTAAGGTGTGTGTCTCAGAGTTTAAGTCCCACTAAAAGTCTCAGGTAAGACATTCTCTATATTTATAGACATAGAGGCCATATATACAGAGTTCTTCCTGAGTTTTCAGGCCAATATAATAAGTCCTCAAACTCTAAGGGTGTGTTAAAGGTCAACCTATGCCATTTACAAACAGGCCCTATTTCATGCAGGTTCCAGACTGCTTCTTCCCAGTCCACCCAGTGGTGCCAAATCTTCCCTCCACCACTCACTCTACAGTCCTAAATCTTAAAAATGCTTTTTATTCCCTTGTGTTTATACAGGCTGACCCAGACACTGAGGTCTCAACAGCTTATACCTGTTATCACTAGACCACACCCTTCCTTTACTATTCACCAATTTCTCAGGCAGCTCTGGTCAAGATTGACAGATAAATTTTGTCTTCTCACTCTGTCTATACTTTTTCATGATATATAAAAGCCTTTCACACAACCAGGGAGACTGCTGATATACTTGCTGAAGTTCTGTTACAACAAATCATTCCAAGGACTACAACCAGGTTACAAACGACCCATACCTGCCTGATATTCTTGGCAACCTCAACAGTGATCAAAGTTGCTAGACTGCCATCCTAGTTTCACATCACTCAGGCTAAGAAGTGCCCTTCCAGCCCTAGATCTAACTATCCTTGTTGCCTACTCATCTCTGCCTTACAAAGGCCCCAAAGCCACAACTCTCAGGCTGTCATGTTTTGTTATCCAATTTGGTTTCTAATTTCTTATTCTTTTTACAGCAGGACTCTTAACAGTATTTCCTACAGACTCCAACATCATGCATATCAGAGACAAGCCTTACCTACCTACCCTCTTAACTTTTACCCTTTCAGATGGGGGAATAATCACCTCTCATAACTTCACTCCTCCTAACCCCACATTTATTTTTTAGAATTCTGCCTTACTGTGGAAATGTTTCTACCTCAACACAGTCCTGATATAATGACATATCAAAATCAAAGGCACCTTTCCTTTTATCTCACCCGGGTCTTTAAATATGATAGTGCCATGCCTCCTCATAACATCTTGTCTCTTTGTTTTTCCAGTCTAACATATGTGCATTCACCAGTGAAGTTGTCCTGGCTAAAACAGCTAGCACCAGCTTCTACCTGGGCATCAACTGTCATCCTGTCAACTCCCCTAGACCCCAGTACAGTGCCCTCTTCCAGCAGGAAGCAGTAAAGAAAGAAATCTTCACCCCTTTTCATAATAATAATCATAAGATGGGATATGAAAGAGTTTTGGCCCAGACAAGACACTGTAGCTGGTAAAGCCTCAGGTGGAACTAAGGAGCTCCATCTTCCCCACCCCTACGAATTTACCTGTGACTGTATCTCCCCCACCCCTAGGAATTTACCTATGGCGCCAAAAGAATACCAATGGGCTACCTGTGCATCACTAATGCCCCTTAGGTTCCACCCCCAAACCTAGGCTACTTATATGCCTCCACTCCACGTGTTCCACGGAGAGATCACCGACCCCAGGGGCAGGGGAGATGCTGCGCCCCAGGGGATTGGGGATGTCTCTCCCCGCATTCTCAAAATAAAGGTCATTTATATTTCATAATTCTTATCTTTTCAGCTGCCACTGGTACCCCACAGTTCTGTCAGTGTCTCTGAATAGAAATCTACCTGTCTATAAGTAGGCACAGATCCACTCATTAAAACACTCAGTTATTCCTGAGGATTTATTTTGGAAAGATGTAGTAAAGAATGCAAAAATGGCCTGCACAGGCAGTCTCTAGGACATGTGATTCACAAGAGCCTGGAAAAGCTTACTTCAAGGTAACTTAGGAGAAGTCTACCTTTGCAGGCAAGCTACTTTCATGTCCTACTAGCTGGCCTGTTTTTCTCATGTCCACCAAGTGGAAACACTCAGTTCTTGTACTCACTTCCTTTACATGACTTGAACACTTTGGGGGTCTCTTGTGGTAGAGCCTCTGCCACATGCTTGGGAGTCCCATGTGTATCACACCCTGTGACTGCTCTTTCCAATGCATGTTCCATAACATCGTGGAAAAGACCCTAACTCAATGTGATGGTGTTGTTTTACCGGCCAACATTTGGAGTCATGATTAGCTGAGGGGCTGAGCCAAAAACTCCCCAAGAAGTCCAAGCCTTGTGTGCCTGTTTTTTTGTTTTTGTTTTTCTTATTTCAGTGTTCACCTCTTGCCAGAAACAGCCACTAGCAATCAATCTTTCCATAAAGCCTTCCCAGGTCTGGGAATCAGGGCTAGCAATACATAATCAGGGCATAGTAACAATAACAATTTTCCTCTGTATAATGGTCTAGGTTTAAAAGTCTTTTATTTTATTTTATTTTATTTTATTTTATTTTATTTTATTTTTGTCTTTTTCCTTTTTATCGGTACTGGGGATCAAACTCACGACTGCCTGCTTGCAAGGGAGGCTCTTATGCCCCTGAGCTAAATCCCCAGCCCCTTGGGTTTAAAAGTCTTATAATCAAATGTATGTCCACTTACTAAGTGAGGAAACTGAGGCTCCGAGATGGTAGGATTCTGACACCAAACCTGGTATAACAAGAACTCCAGGTTTTGGGGTTATAAATTCCAAATCTTTTTTCAATTCCAGATTCATTTTATCATCTGCTGGTCAGAACAGCTCACCCAAGCCCCTGTGTTTTGCAATACGGTGGTAACGTTAAGAGTGAGTGGCTCTTTGCAACCAACTTATTGCCACTCTTATGGAATATTTTTGTATATCTTATTTGCTATCTGTACTTTAATTAATAATGGTTTCTGCATTGCTTGACCTGCCTTCTTATATGTAGTTTGAAGAAGTAGATAGGTAGGGATGGATTTTATGCCTTTATTTTTTTAAGTATACTGTATATTTTAGAGAAATTTTAGGGTTAGTAAAAATCAGAAATTAAAAATTGACCAGAATTGCTTCTCAGCTTTATGCTAAAATCAAGTGTAAAATTTAATGAGAAATTTGATTTCAATCTGAAGATTCCCATGTACTTCTTCTTTCTCCACATAGTTTTTCATCTGGTGTTAATGTTGTTCAATTAATGAACCAATATTGATATAACATCATTAACTAAAACCCATAGTTTAGATTAATTTCATTCTTTGTGTTGTAATTCTATGGGTTTTGACAAATGCATATACATAACATGCATATCCATCATTATAGTATGATACGGGGTATTTCACTGCCCTGAAAGACATCTGTTTATTCTTCCAATTCTCCCTAGTTCTCGGTAGCCATTGGTCTTATTGTCTTTATAGTTTTCTATTTTCAGAGTTTCACATAGTTTGAATCATATAGTATGCCAACTTTTCAGGTTGGGTAGCTCTCTTCCTTGGGTTATGCTGAAGATTTAACTGAGCTACATACCAAGCTCTTTGATTAAGATGGACCTTACTAAATTTCTAAGTTGGTCAGGCTAGTCTCAAATTTGAAACCATAATGCTTCAGCTTCCTAGAGGACTGGGATTACAAATGTGTACTACCATGCCTGGAGTTCTTTCATTTATGAACACAGTTTTTTTTCCTCAATACCTTTTCGTCGATTGATCACTGATTTCCTGTTATCATTGGATAATATCCCATTGTATGTTATACCACAATTTTTTTTCTGAACATCTACTGAAAGACACATTGGTTGCTTACCAAGTTTTGGTAATTATGAATAAAGCTGCTATGGACATCTATGTGAAGGTTTTTGTGCACACATAAATTTTTATCTCATTTGCATAAACAACAAGAAGTGTGATTGCTGGATCACATGTAAAGAATATGTTCAATTTTGTGAGATGCTGCCAAACTTTCTTCCAGAGAGACTATATCATTATTTTTTTTTTTTATCGGTACCAGGGATCGAACTCAGGACTGTCTGCCTACAAGGCAGGTGCTTATGCTACTGAGCTAAATCCCCAGCCCCTATACCATTATTTTATTCCCACAAACAAGTTTCTTTGCTCCACATCCTTCTTAACATTTGGTGTTGTCCATGCTTCAATTTTTTGTTTATTTACTGAGATATGGTCTTTCTTTGTTTTTTTCTTCAAATCCATTTAATTTCAAAGAGAAAACAAAAAATTTTAAAACATGACCATCAAGGGTCAATAATGATATATACACTGCACATGATAATCCCTAAATCATTCACCCAGAGCACAAGACATCTGTGTTTAATTGTCCAAACAATACCAGAACAAATCATTCTTTTTAATGAACTCAGAGAAATCAATAGTGTAACTATCAACTATTATATATATATATATATATATATATATATATATATATATGTTGCATCTTTCAGCTTCTCACAGCACTAAGACAATATGGTGTTCACACATGTGGAGACATGGTCTTTCTATGTAGTCCAGGCTGACTTGGGATAGCAGCAATCCTCCTGCCTCAGCTTCCTGAGTGCTGGAATTACAGACATGTGCCACCACTCCTTGGTTCAGTGTGTTTTGATTTTAGCTATTGAAACTGATATAGAGTTGTTATGGTTTAGGTTAAGAATGACCCCCAAGACTATCATGTGCTCAGAGGCAGAGTTTTGGAAGGTAATTGGATCCTAGAGGTATGATAGCTGAATGTGATATTAGGAGGTAGAAGCTGGTCAGAGGAGGTGGATCACTGGGGATATGACCTGGAAGGGTCTCTCCCCCTGGGGTATGCCCTTCTCTCTGCCATTTCATGAACTTTCATCCACTAGATCCTTCCATCATGCCCTTTCTGCCTTTAAGCCAGTTGTCTATGGACTGAAAATGTGAATTGAAATAAACCTCTCCTTTATTTATTTATTTATTTACTCATGTTTTGTTTTTTTGTTTTGAGATAGGGTCTTACTATGTAGTGCAAATTGACCTTGAAATTGCTTATGTAGCCAAGGCTGACCTCAAACTCACAGTGATCCTTCTGCCTTCATCTCCCAAGTGTTGAGATTATAGGCATGTGCCACAATACCCAGCACCTCTCCTCCTTTAATTTTTAGTATTGGGTATTGTGTTTTGGCAAGAAGGAAAGTAAAGAAGACAGGTTTTGAAACCAGAGAAGTGGGATTATTGCTGTGACTAACTGCTCGTGTAGTTTAGAAGCCTTTGCTACTGGTTCACAGAAGTTTAGAAAGGTTTGGAGATAGCAGCTAGAGAACTCTGGAATACTGTAAAATGAAGTCAATGGGATGTTCTAGTTGGAGTTTACAAGAACTGAATGTTGATAGACATGCAGATGGTAAATGCTGAGCTCATAAAGTTTTAGTTGGGAACAAGATGCCCATTGGCAAGTGACTTGAGACCATATGTGTTACACTCTGGATGAAAATTTTTTATTTTTAGCATCTCCTGAGGCTGCAGGAGAGTGAGATTAAGTGGGGGTGGGGTATGTTAACTAATCTATTGGAACAAAATCCAGGCATCTCAATATTGAGGCTGTGGCATGGATACTTCCAGCAACTTTTAGCAATATCTACTGTAAGAAACAGGACCAAAAGACAGAGCTAAACAATTTGAAAAATTTTGCTGGTAGCCAGAAAGGAAATGCCTATAAAATTGGGACATGGGACATGTAAATTTGGAGCCTATAAAGTTGGAAACAAAGAGAATTTGGTTGCTGAAAAGATCAGCATTAAAAGAAACAAGTATTTTGCATGGGACCCTAGAAAAGATACCTTGAGGGCACCTCAGAAACCTGCAAGACCCCAGCCATTTCAGGCTCAAAGGTGCAAAACTGTAAATCTTTCATTTGAGAATTGAGTCTAGTACACACTACTTGAAGGGCTGCCTAGAGAATTGGTTTCCTGAAATTCATTTCACATAATTCAGTCATCTGGCACTTTAAGGCCTCCTTAGCCATGAAGTAAGGGGAACCAGCTACTGCTTGAGCTCATAGCAGACTGTGGCATCCATATAATGCTGAATTTGGAGCATACAGAATGCTAGAGATGTGGGGTAATGGATGCATCTACCTAAATTTCAGAAAAAGATCCAGGAGAGCTAGCCAATGTGCCCCTGAGAGAGCAGTACATGAAGCTATGAGAATGAAGTCAAAAGCACAGTGGAGTGCCCAGGAAGTCAGAGAATCCAAAAACAAGGAATATCTGCTGAGGAAAGTCAAAGGCAGTGAGCAAATTCACAACAAGAGAGAGGTCATGAGGGCTGCAACAAGCAATGCTATAGGAGCAAGGCCATGCAAGAACTTTGTGGAATTCATATCTTGCTACAACTTGCCCCAGATGCTGCAAAAAAATAAAAAAACAAGTCCCTTCCTATTTTAGTTGGAGGTACTGGAAAATCGTCAGAAGATCAGTTAGCAGAGAATATCAATATATAATTCCTGTTGTAAGGAATGAAAATTTGGGGAAAATAATATGATCAACTCCAGACTCTTCAAAATATAAAATCAAAATTGGGGACATTGGTAGAGCAGTGAAGAATTGGACACAGTAAACCAATCCACCAGAGACCCTTCAGAAACCCTTTACATTGGTCCACAAAAGAATGATCGAATAGTTATTTTTTTCTGATTCCTTCAAACTCTAAATGGTACATACAGTTGGAATCACAGATTCCATAAAACTTCAAGGGA